CTGCCCAGCTCTGCAGCCTTGGCCATAGGGAGCCCAGAGCCCAGAGCCCAGAGCCCAGAGCCCGTGGGAGCCAGAGGGCCTATCTGGAGAAGGCAGGAAGTGTGCTCAGAGCCAGGGCTGGGAGGAAGAATTCCAGCAATGTGCCCCTCCTGCTGCTCACTGGGGCACCCCACCCCCACTTGCTTGCTTGCTAGCCACCCCCTCTACCCCACAGAAGTGAAGGTATATTGTAGTCCTAGTACCTGAGGGTCCTGCACCAAGCCTGGCACCACTTGGATTCTGCTTGTAGCAGTAAGGATTTAGGCTATTTGGTAAGAGTGGTGGCTATTCTGGATTGAAGCTGGGGGTTGGCCAGAATGGCCATGTCCTGCTTCCCTTTTGGGAGCCCTAAGAAATCCTGCCCTGCAGGCTATCACAGAGGCCGTGGGAAGAGGCCATAGGGGCCAGCATCGTGGACATAAGTTCTTATTTGTGGGTAGCTGTGTGTCCATGTCGCCTGTTTATGAGTGTACGATTGGATGTCTTGTCTCTATAGCCACATGATGTTTCCCTGCATCCTAGATCATGTCCCTGTGCCAGGAGTGGTCACACATTTTCTCATTCTGTTTTGGCTTTGGCTTCTGTTTCTATTTCTCTGATCTTCCTTGTGAACTGGCCTCTGGCTGCCCCAGACTGTGCGCTGACAGATACCTCTGTGGGTGTTGGGACCTTTTCCCAAAGCCCTATACCTGTACCTACAGTTGTATCTGGGAGAGTTGACATGTCTATGCAGTGGAACTCTGCAGATCTTTGGTCTCTTGCAACCCTGAATTCAAGCCCACATTTCCTAGCTGAGTCCTGGGGAACTAGAGAACAGTCTATATTCTCTGGAATTACTGGGGAAATAGGCAGATGGTGTCCATATAGCAAAAGTCAGGAGGAGAATCTAGATGAACGTTGAGCTTTGGGGTCAAGGAAGGGGTCCTGAGTGCAGGTGGGACAGGAAAACAGTGTTCTGCCTGAGAGGAAAGGTGGCCCAGAGCCCTGAAGCTGGGCAATACCACTGCACAGAGGATGCACTTGCTCCTGCAGCTGGCTGCTGCCTATAGACATGGATAATCTCACATTTAGGGTTTGGAGCAGAGTGTGGTGGTCCATGATTATAATTCCACCACTCAAGAGGCTGAAGCAGAAAAATCACTGTTGTGAGTTTGAGGCTAGCCTGGGCTACCTTATCTTCAAAACACCAAAAAAAAAAAAAAAAAAAAAGAGTAGTTGTGGTGTGGAAGCCTGGGCAGTTGGAGTGCTCAGGGGTGTTCTGGACTGTGGGAAGACAGGTGCCTGAGACTTAAGAGACCTACCCTGAGACCTGAGGGATCTTCCCTGCCTCAGAGTCCCTCAGCCATCACACATGGAAGGGATGGGGGCAGGGTGAAAGGTGAGGAAAAAAGCCATGCTACAACCCCCCAGCCAGCAGTGTCACCTGTACACACCCCCAGAAACCTGAGCTGCCACTTGCCTGCTCACCCTCAGCCACCCGCCCTGTGTAATTGGGCACCAGCAACTGTTGGTCATTCAGCAGTACAGTCACTGCCTTGGCCCCTGGCCGGGTAGCGGTCAGGGCTGGCCCTACCTGCACAGCCCCTGGCCCAGAGACCTACTGAAGGATGCCAGAGGTAAAGTGAGGCAGAACTCTGGGGTAGTGGTGGGGGTTGCCTACAGGTACTGTAAGCTCTTCCCTGTTGTGGGCTGTGAGGCAAAACAGGCTTGAAGGATGTCTGGCACTGGAACTCCCCTTCTGGTTCCCAGCCCCTTCTGGGCTCATGGAGTGGGGGTGGCTGCAGTTAGTGATGGAATTTGAAAGCAAACAGCCGCCACCGCAACCCAGAAAGATTCTTGAAGGCCTTGAAGAGAAAACAAAGCTGCTCAGGCCTCCTAAGTGCCAGCCCTACAGGTGGGAGGCAAAAGAAAAAAAAAAGAGGGAGGAGGTGAGGCCTGAGGGTATAGTCTTGCTGGGTGCTATGATGGGGGCAACCATCCCATCTGGCTCCTTCTATATCCATAAGCTGTGTGCAGTGCACACTATGAATTCTCCCAAGGCCCCTGCCAGGCAGCTGATCTCTTTAGACGTTTACATGTTTGGGAACAGGCTTTGCCCCAAATCCACAGCTAAAGCTATTTATTATAAGCAGCCTCACCAAACCTGAGTCCCAGGACATAGAGTGTTTGTCACTGAGATCTGGGATCAGTCCCTCAGAGCAAAGGGGTAGTAGAGCCTGATGTTGCCTCTTATAATGTCTACAGGATGTCAATGGGCCCCCAAGAGAGCTGCGCCCTCGGCTTTGCCACTTGCGAAAGGGACCCCAGGGCTATGGGTTTAACCTGCACAGTGACAAGTCTCGGCCTGGCCAATACATCCGCTCTGTGGACCCAGGCTCACCAGCTTTCCATTCTGGCCTCCGTGCTCAGGACCGGCTCATTGAGGTACCCTGGGTGCCCTGTGTTCATATCTCTATCCAAAAGTATCCATGTCTGGGCCCTGGGTCCCTGCAGGAGGAGGGGAGACACTGGGAACTTGAGCTGGCACTCTTGCTGACTCGGCTGGTGGTGGCTTCGATGAATATTTGATGGCACACCTGGCTGGGTGGCATGCAGCCGACTGGGCCCCTCAGGTCTTTCTGACCTTGTGTGGTGGTGGTAGGTGAACGGGCAGAATGTGGAGGGGCTGCGCCATGCAGAAGTTGTTGCTAGAATCAAGGCTCGGGAGGACGAGGCCCAGCTGCTGGTGGTAGACCCTGAGACTGATGAGCACTTCAAGAGGTTGCGGATCACACCCACTGAAGAACATGTAGAAGGTAGACTAGGGTAGCTAGGGGCACAGGGTGGGGTCAGTGTGGAGTCAGTGCAGCCACTGACATGCTGTTCCCACAGGTCCACTACCATCACCAGTCACCAATGGAACCAGCCCTGCTCAGGTGAGTGGGTGGGCTCAGGTGATCATAGGTGTACTTCTGTGTCCCCAAACTTGATGTAGACCTCTTTTCCTGGAGAGCTTTGCCCTTGAGGATGTATAGTTGTGGGACCTAAGTCTGACCTGGTCATCTCCAAAATACCCACTGTAGATCTCATCCTGGGTGAGAAGTCTGGGGCTCAGATACACACAGGGCAGATGAATACCTGGGTCTTGGGCCATTACCCTTTTTGTACCCTGTCCCTACAAGGCTACTGAGTCATCCTTTAGCTCTTACTTCTTGGACGCTAGCTCTGGCTTTACCTCAGGTGACACTCATGTGGCTGATTCCCATGCCACAACTATCTTCCCATATTATGACTGGCCAGGCCAGACGTGCTTGTTCCAGTGTTAGGGGTGCCAGCCACATCCTACCCAGCCTGACCTGGCCAGTGGCAGAAGTGTGATGCTCAATACTGAATGAGTAGATGTGGCTGTGTTGTGCATATGCTCAAATGTGTACTTGTATATAAGTGTGCATGTATTTGGGTGCACCAGGATAGAAACCCTGAAACCACAACCCACTCTTGTTTTCTTAGCTCAGTGGTGGCTCAGTGTGCTCATCCCGGAGCAACCTGCCAGGCTCAGACAAGGACAATGAGGTAACTCAGCTATGGTGCTCATGCACGGTACCAGAGGCCTTGGGAGTAGATTTCTGTGGAGATGTCTACCTGGACAGTGGGGCTACCACTTCCAGGAAGCTTCCTGGGCTAGCCACTCCAGGCCCTCTGGCATAAGCTTTGTGGGAAGGTAGCTGCCAGGGGCATGGCTCACTGTTTGCACACACCCCTACCCCCAGGATAGCAGTGCCTGGAAGCGAGACCCCTTTCAGGAGAGTGGCCTCCACCTGAGTCCTACAGCAGCTGAAGCCAAGGAGAAGGCTCGAGCCACACGGGTCAACAAGCGGGCACCACAGATGGATTGGAACCGGAAGCGAGAGATCTTCAGTAATTTCTGAGTCCTTCCTAGTGGGCCTCCTCATGCACAGACCTCAGGCCTGTCTAGAGCTCCCTAAGCCTCAGTGGACTGGAGGGTCGTATCATGGCCACCCAAAAACCAACCCATGCCCCCCATGAACCCTTGCCTTGCCCCCTGTCCACTGGGTGCTGGGGCTGTTGAAACAAGATGGGGGAAGAGAGAGACTCAGAGATGAGAGAGACAGAGAGAGAGAGAGAGAGAGAGAGAGAGAGAGAGAGAGAGACAGAGACAGAGACAGAGAGACAGAGAGACAGAGAAACAGAGAGACAGGGAGGGAGGAGCTGTGCACAGTCCTCCACCAAGGGCCTTTGCTGTTCTGCCTCAGGCCTGCTGACTGAAAGGAATTTGTGTTTTTGCCTTTTTTTCCAAAAAGATCTCCAGCTCCACACATGTTTCCAGTTAATACTGGAGCCCCCTTCCCCCAGCCCCTTGGGGCTTGCTCTCTAAATAATTGCAATAAAATGAACCTTTCTTTGCAAACCCTTTCTTCCCCAGCCCATCAGCAGCACCATCCTGAGCAGAGTAAAGGGACTTCAGGGAAAAAACAGCCAGAGGCCCTCAGGCTCATGGGGCTTTAGGGTTAGGCTATTGAGGCTAGCTGTGTCTGGAGGAGCTATCCCTCTGCTCCACCCCTGGTATGGGATGGTCCCCAGGCTGGGCCTCTACTCTCTGCTAACTACCACTGTCTCCACTGGGTCTGGAATGCAGGGCCTGGGCTCTCTGAGGGGCCAGAGGATGGAGGCCCCTGTGACTCTCAAGAGGGTAGCCTCTGGACAGGCCTCTTATCCTGCATATAACTCTGGGACCTGGAGATTATAGATATGTGAGAGCCACCCCCGAGAAGGACCCTGGGCTATTGGGCCTGACCACTGCCTTATGCCTACCTGGTATCCACCCTCATGGACATCCTGTCAACTCTGCCTTTTCCTCAGTGACCTGAACTCCCTAATCTGACTGACTGGCACTGCTGTCTGCCTTGTAAGCCATAGCGCATGTGCGCCCTCAAATTAAACAGGCCTTGCCTTGAACCCTGGTGCCCATGTCTTTTTTGAGTCTTCAGTTGAGGGGTCAAGGTGGGGAATGAGACTCATTTCAGGGGGACCTTTAGATGGGAGGCTGCTGTTGTCATCTGTCACTATTATTCTAAGACCTGTCCAGTCCCACTACTAGGGACACATTCTGGGGTCTCTGTTCACCTCCTCTACCTGGAGTGGCCCATTCTCCCACCTTCTCCTCCCTTGTGGAGCTACACAGGCCCCTGCCCTTCCCATGGGCTACTCTGCCTAATGCAGTTCCCTCCATTTCCAACAGCTCAAGCTTTGTGTTCTGTGGTCTCTGGGGTCCCCTGAAGACCAGTAGCTCTGTAAACACTGGGGTGGTTTCCTGGAATAGGCAAGCTTAGGATGTACAAGTTCAGAAGCTGGAGGGTTCAGGGAAGTGCTAGGCCTACAACCTGCAGGACAGAGTGTGAGAATTCACAGGGATACTTCCCCAGTAGGCTTCCTAGCAGCTGGCTGCAGCTGGCTCTCACCATTTCCTCCCTTCTGGGTTCATTCCTCCCACTCTTCCCTCCCCTTCCTCCTACCATATTCCCTTTCATCCCCAGACACAGCATGGGTTGTCACGTCCTCACCCAACCTCCTAGGCAACCTAGCTCCAGATACGAGAGCAGCGTACACCCCACATGCATGCATATGCTTCTTGGCCTGATCTCAAACCATTGGGCTAGAAGTCAGCCAGACCTTCACTGCAAACAACCCTCAGCTTTATTACACAACTTGGAAACAACCCCCAAGTATTACCCCTCCCCACAAAGACACTTCAGAGACACTGGCCAGAGCAGTGCCCAGGCTAAAGCCACATAATTCCTTAGAGGGCTTGAGCAGCGGGGCACAGGGTCTGGTTGAGGCAGGTCTGGCAGCTAGGGTGAACAGGAAGGCAGATCTGTTGGCCAAAACCCACCAGCAGCCCATTGATCTCATTCCACAGCTCCCTGTGAGGGTGGGGGGCAGATCAGTGTGGAAGGAGGGAGGACAGGTGGTCCGTCTGTCTGTTGCCCCCCCGCCCCTGCCAGTATACTGTACCTGGGTAGCCATTCCTCCAGGGCTGTGCGGGTCTCCTCCGGGGACTTGGTCACCTTCTTTGTCCACCTCAGTCGGTTGGCAATTCTGTGCACGTGTGTATCCACTGCTGTTTAGAGACAGGTTGAAGTGACAAAGGATACTCTGCCTGTCTGAACTACTCCCCTGTCCCTGCTCATAGTCCTGAGCATGTGTCACTAAGGGGTTGAGCCCAAGGCCTCTACCACCCAGGCCTCCAAACAAGATGGGAGCCACAGAGCCTGAGAAAAGGTGTTGCATCTATACTTCTGGGCTGGGTCTGAGCCATCTGTGGTGCAGGCAGCCTGTTTCAGGCCTCCTTCCATCATGGAGGAGCCTGGCAGGGGTCTCTGTTTGGGCCTGACCCGTTCCTACTGATCCTAGTGCCAGCTGGGAGGGTGTTTACTCTGGGTGGACATGTGGGGCTGTATCTGTTCCAGGTTCTGCTTCCCTCAGCAGCAGTAACAGTTAACTGGGGTTGAGCCTTTGCTGGAGTCAGACCCTGTGCCGAGATTTACCAGCTTCAGCTCACAAAGACTTTACAAGGCACCCACAGATGGAGAAACTGAGGCCCAGCAGGGTTCACTCCAAAATGAGGACAGCAGAGATACACTTTAAGTGTGAGGCTCTGGGTTCAACCCCCAGCACCCAAAACAAAAAATATGAAAATCAGTGTGAGGGGGTAGAGAGATGATTCAACAGGGGTACTATTTTTCCTAGAGACCTGAACTCAGTTCTCAGCACCCACGTCTGGTAGCTCACAACTGCCTAAAACTCTAGCTCCAGGAGATCTGACACTTTCTTCTTGCTTCTGTGGCCACTGTACTTATGTGCACATAGGCATACACACAAACACATAATTAAAAAGTAAAGCTGAGGGTGGTGGCACACACCTTTAATCCCAGAAGTAGGTGGATCTCTGTGGCATCGAGGCCAACCTGGTCTACATAGTGAGTTCTAGGACAGCTGGGGCTACAGGGAGACCCTGTCACAAAAACGAACAAGCAAAAACAAAAAAGTAAAAAAATAAAGTAAGGCTGGATGTGGTGGCACATGCCTTTGATCCCAGTACTTGGGAGGCAGAGGCAGGCAGATCTCTGTAAGTTCAAGGCCAGCAAGTTCCAGGCTAGATGGGGTTACAGGGAGACCCTGTCTCAAAAAAAAGGAAAACAAAACAAAAAAAAAGGGTAAAATCTTGGCTGGGTGTGGTGGGGGTGTGGTGGTACATGCCTTTAGTCTCAGTACTTGGGAGACAGAGGTGGGGGAATCTCTGTGAGTTCGAGGACAGCCTGGTCTACATAGAGAGTTCCAGGCCTGTTGGAGCTACATAGTGAGTCCTAGCATTCAAAAAAAAAAGTCATTCATAACTTCAGTTCCAGGGGAATCCAATGCCCTCTTCTGACCTCTGCAAGCAATGTACAACACAGGTGCACTTACAATATACACTCATACAGCCGGGCATGGTGGTGTATGTCTTTAATCCCAGCACTTCAGAGGCAGGTGGATATCTGTGAGTTCGAGGCCAGCCTGGTCTACACAGCGAATTCCAGGTCAGCTGGGGCTACAGGGAGACCCTGTCTCAAAAATACAAACAAAACCAAAAAACAATATACACTCATACACACACACACAAAAAAAAAAACAAAAACAAAAAAAAACCCAAACCCAAAACCTTACAAAAAAACAGAGTGTGAGCCAGACATGGTGGCTCCCACTTATAATCCTAGCACTTGGGAGGCTGACATAGGACTGCTCTCAGTTTAAGGCTAGCCTGAGCTATAAAGTGAGACCCTGTCTCAAAAAAATCCAACTCCAAGGTTGGAAGTATGACTTATCTTCCAGAAGACCTGGGTTCAGTCCTCAGCATCAATCTGGCAGTTAGCACCATCCTTAACTCCAGTTCCAGGTGATCTGATGCCCTCTTCTGGCCTTCATGGGCATTGCACAATGTGGTGCACTTACATCGATGCAGGCAAAACACTCATTCACATAAAATAAAATTTAAATTTAAAAATCCACCCCCCCAAAAAAAAAACCCCTAAAAGTGTATACTCTTGGTCCACAGTCTTCCCAGGAATGAAGCCTCAATCAGGGAATCCTGTTTGCTTCCTGTTGTGTCTCCTGAGGACCCTCCCAGTCTAGCCACTGGCTGTGGGCACTGGGCCAGGTGGCAGCAACTTGGATCAAGGGGCTGAGCTAGGTCACTGCTATAGAGCTAGCACCTGCTATTACAGTCACGGGGGGGGGGGTAGGGTCAGGCTGGTTACAGCTGTGTTCCTCCATGGCTTCAATCCCTGTTCCCATCTGCTGGCCACTGCAGGGGTTCAGCCTCATGCTTTCACTGGCCTTCTGCTAGACACCTAGTCAACTGCAGGGTCTGCTTTGGCTTCTCCAAGGTTTGCCAAGCAACCAGCCAGTCCCTACACTAGCTCCCTGACTTGCTAACTGCCTGGGAAAAGACTGGAGGTGCAGGCAGTACATGAAGACTGAGGGAGAACCATGAACCTCAGTTTACTTCTCTGTAATACAGAGGTGAGCACACCCAAGACCTCCAGGGGCCCAGTCCATGGCCACATCATGTATGACTCTTCTGTGCTGGCCAGAAGGGCTTCCCACAAATCTGTATAGTTAAGGAGGAAAACTGCTTCATGGATTGTGAGGCTAAGTTCAGAGACACCAACTGGTGACCTAAGGTCACCCAGGTGCAAGACACAGAGCTGAAACCAGCTTGAACTCCATAGTTCTAGCTTGTTAGTTGAGAGGGCTTCTCCTCTCTCTAGAAGGCAGCCCTGGGATCTCATGGCAGGTGGCCAGGCTCTCAGATCACAGAGAAATGGGTGATATTCTGACATTCCTCTGTGTGGTGTCCATTGTGCCCAAAGCACAATCCCCTGCCTAGCCATGGGGTAGGGGCCCCTTCCCCACATAGCTACCCAACCACGATGTAGCACTCCTGGAACATGGGTAGCTGAGGACAGTGCCCAGATAAGCTCAAGTGTCTGCTAAGAGGCTGCTGGTGGCTGAGGAGTGAGGAATGAGACGGGGAGGAGGCCTTTCTCACCCCCATCTGGCCAGACTCTTTCAGGGCTTGCTGTTCTCCAGCCTCAACAGGTCGTAACCAAAGCCCTAGGCCCTTAGTTGCCTTCTGCCCACTGGGCAGTGCTGTAAGGTGCCACCAGCTTAGCAATCTACTGAGGCAATCTCTCTACCTGGCACATGCAAGAGTTACCAGGAGTCTGGAGTCAGTGGCACACAGAGAGGCCAGGACTAAATCTTGGTTTCTATGAGATCAAAAGAGCCCCAACTGCTTGGGGTCAGGCCCAGAGGAAGTAGCAGCACTGTCTCTGCCCCAGGGAGTCTGTCTTTAACCCAACAACACAGAGAAGCTTCAAATGCTAGGTGATATTTGGAAAAGAACTCCCGTGATTACCCTCCCCTCCCAGGAGAGAGCCCTTCCTCCTCCTCTTTCTCAGCCTCTGCTTCCTCAAACTACCCCACCCATTCATTCCAGAGTTCCTGCTTTGCCACTCAGTTTTGCAGATACTATTCCTTCTGCCTAGAACATACTTCTATCTCTTGGCCTGGCTCACCCCACCTTACCAGGGGCTCTCATCAGAAGCATGACCTAAGGAAGATTTCCCAGAGCTGGATGGGATGGTGCATGATTATAATCCCAGAACTTGAGAGGCTGAGGCCAGAGCATGACCATGGCCAGCCTGGACTACATAGCAAGTGCAAGGCTAGCCTGAGCTAGAGAGTGAGACCTTATCTCAAAAACAAAAGGCTTCCCAGACACCTGTAACCTGAGTCAGGTTCCACAGGGCTGGCACATTATTCTCAGTTATGAAGCATTCTTCATTGATTCTGTAGTATGTGGATAGCACCTGGCTTCAAGGTCCTTCAGAGTTGAGCATGCAGGAAGAACTCAGCAAACACAAGCACCTGTTATCAGTGCCCGACTACAAGCAAGCTGGCTTGATCAGCACCGAGAATACCTTTATTTTTTATTTTATTTATTTTTGGTCTTTTTGAGACAGGGTCTCCCTGTAGCCCCAGCTGTCCTGGAACTCACTAGGTAGACCAGGCTGGCCTTGAACTTACAGAGATCCGCCTGTCTCTGCCTCCTGAGTGCTGGGATTAAAGGCATGTGCCACCATGTCTAGGCAACTATTTTGTATTTTTGAGACAAGGTCTCCCTGTAGCCCCAGCCGACCTGGAACTCACTATGTAGACAAGGCTGGGCTTGAACTCACAGAGATCACCTGCCTCTGTCTCCCAAGTGCTGGGATTAAGAGTGTGCGCCACCACAACCTGTGAGAACACCCTTTTAATACTCTGGGTCGAGACATAGGTAAGGAGGCTGGAGCTGGGGGTCACAAGGAAATGGGGAACCCCAACAGGAGCCAGCAAGCCTGGAACTGATTCCTCCTTCCTGTGGCACAAGCCACTCACTCACCTATGCCTGATACGGTGCCCCAGGCCACAGCCATAGCTAAGTGTGCCATCTTGGGTCCAACACCTGGCAGAGCCAGCAGCTCTGCCACGGAGGCAGGGATGTCCCCTTCATAGTGCTGCTGCAGGATGGCAGTGGTCTGCTTGATGAACTTTACCTTCGTCTGAAAGATGGTATGGGTCAGCCTTGGAAGTAGGGCATACCCTGACCTGGAAGGACAAGGTCCTGGGGAGACCCACAGATGCCCAGAGCTGCATACTACTTGCCTAGGTATACAAAGGCATCTCCCTGCTCCACCCTTCTAGGAAGTGAGAAGGAGCTAAACACTGCAAAGAGGCCCAAAAGAGCCCCTGGCAGGACCCAGTGTGCAGGCTTAGATCCACTTCCCATCATGTAGACCAATGATGTGTGTGGGATCCAGCTTGGGTCTCCTGCCTCAGCATTCCCCCGAGGCCAAGCGAGGCTGAACAGGCGAGCTGTCCCCAGGAGCTAGGCTCAGCAGCACCTGGGACTTCAGGAAGGAAGGTTGGAGCCTGGGGCTCCCCTGCCAGCTGCCAGGCCAGCTGGGCGGTTCCCATCCTGTGCCTGAGTGGAGAGGGCTATTTAAAACCTGTCTGACAGACTGTAGCCCATGCAGTGCCAAGGGGAAACAGCCCCACCCACAGAGCCACTTTCAACAGATCCACCCACCACCCAGGGCTCTGTGGAGTGGGGGAGCAGCCACTTTAGGGTGACACACTCCAGGGAGCCTTGGAGTAAACAAAGGGGAAGGCAAGGGAGGGAAGGGCAGGGAGCTGGGTGGGGAGAAGAGGAAGGAAGGGGGGGACAAACAGGAAAGTCCCATGCATTCCAGGGATAGGGCACTAGCCCCATGGTGTGGACTCCTAAGCTGGTCAGAAGCATGAAAGGTCCTTATAGTCAGAGATGCCTGCCCCTCATCTCCAGGTCAGTGAATCTTTTAGACCCATGGGGTAAGGCTCACCTTCCAGAAGCCCACGGGATAGATAAGCCTGCCCAAAGTGTCATCATCTGTCTGTAAGATGCTGTCCACTGTCAAGCCCCGTGCCCGAAGCCGCTGCATGGCACTTGCTGTCACCTGGTCTTTGGTCTGGCTGGAAAGCATCAGCGACAAGAGCACCTGGTATCTCTGCACCTGCTTGCACAATGATAGGGACCAGAATGAAGGTGGATCCTGTGTTAGGCTCCAGCTGAGTGAGCCCTCTACCCACCTTCACTTATTACCCTGGACTTTTTTTTTTTTTTTTTTTTTTTTTTTTTTGTTTTTTTTGTCAGGGGTTTTCCCTTTCCCCCCCTCTC